TATATCATGTACAGATAAAAATCCCTATGATAAAAGCTATCATTCTGTATATGTAGAGGGTACAACAAGAAAAAGAAAAATTTACAGATTGGGGTCTGTCACTCGTGGTATCATCCATTCAGTCAGCAACCCTCGCATAACACAGAACATTCCTCAACTTTTCAGCATCTGACTTGTAAGTTTAATAAGAGAATTAAGGAACTCTAGGTATGAGAGAGTTTCCAACAGGGAAGACAGAAACGAAAAGACATGATCGGTAACAAAAATAAAGAGAAACTCACCAGCATGGTGGCAGTATAGGGTGCAGAAGAAAACTTCATCAGACTCTAATCGCTAGTCACAGAAAGACAATGCACAAATAAGAACAGTAAGCAACAAAAAGGAGTACTCAGAAAAGAAAGAAGTCTGGGAAATTCATAATGTGAGAGCAGAAATCTATCAGCACAGATGTTGAGATATAAAGTTGAAAAATCTTGCAGAAAGTGCAATCAGAAAAAGTTAATGAAATGAAAAATAAATCATTATTTTAAGAAGTCTGACATTTAAATAGAAAAACTTAAAGAAACAGAGAATAGAGACAGTGAAGAGAGAAAAGCATCGTAGAAATAATAAAAGAAAAAATTGAAACCGAAGAACATAGGTTCTAAATTGAAAAGCCCACTGGAGTACCTAGGGTATGAGTAGAAAAAGATACTAGAAGAAAAGCTTGCAGGCAGAAAAATAAATAAAACCCTAAAGATTACAAGAATAAATGTCTGATGTGAGGTTTCTCTGGGTAACATCTGCAGCTAGGTAACAATGAAGGGATACCTTTAAAATCCCAAGGGGTTATTATTTCCAACTGAGTAATTCTATCTAGGCAAATTATTAATCAAATGTGCAGGTGGAATAGTGGCATCCGGAGTGAGAAATCACAACTATTTTACCTCTCACACATCTTTCTGATGTTCCTCAAAACTAAGAAGAAAACAAGAAAGTGCAAACAGGGTTTTTGCTTTTAAGCCCAGAAACCCTCCACTTCAGACCAGCAATGGAGGAAGATGAAAGAGTCAAGAAGGGAGAGCTTCATAAAATTAAAAGCAAACAAAAGAGACCGTATTTGACTGCCCTGCAGTGAATTTTAGATTTTTGTTGCAAAGTTGAGAATTAAATTGGCGTCACATAGAACATTAAGCAGACGAATAAGAGGCAATAATGGACTCCAGAAAGGACAACCAAGGAATCCACATGAAAGGTGCTAATGGTAATAAATCCCATGGCTCAGCTGTGAGCAGTAATGTAAGTTCTGATGTTAAATAATAAAATAAAATAAAATGATAAAAATGCTGTGACTATTGGGAGAATGTAGGGAGAAGTATCCTGTGGGATAATGGTAGGAGCGCTAAGGTGGTATTTTCTATAGTAGGAAGTAACAGGATTCACGGGGTAACATCCTGCATTAAAAAAATAACATGCTATAAAAGCACACTGTTTATATATACTGAGATAACTCTAGAAATACATAAAAGAGTTGAAAGTTTTTGCCTTTAGTGGCAGAAATTAAGGACATGAGGGGTGCCCTGCAGTGCTCCTGGACTTACTATGTGTATTGCTCTGATTAAGAGGGGGCTCAGTGGTTTCCTCGTATCCTGAGTGGCACCTCACACGGGGCCAGTGAGCACTGAGCAGCTGCTGTAGAAGATTCATGAACCACACGGTCAAGCAGATGTGCAGGGACACTGTCCTCTGGATGTCTTCCAGGCGGCTGTGGGAGAAGAACCTCCCTTTTCTGGTTCTCTGAATATAAATGCATATAGTATTTCTCTTTCTGCCAGAAATCATTTGTCCTTTGGGCTCTCTCCTGAATTCAGTGTTTGACTCAAATTTAATTTCAGCTCTTGGTGGAGATCTCTTGGCCCAGCTTTATCCTGGCACTGAGGGGATGAAGATTATTTGGGTAGGCTGGTGTGTGTGTGTGTGTGTGTGTGTATGTGTGTGTGTGTGTGTGAGAGAGAGAGAGAGAGAGAGAGAGAGAGAGAGAGAGAGAGAGAGAAAGAGAGAGAGAGAGGGAGAGAGAGATTCCAGTTAGTTACTTTGTAGCTTTGTGCTTAAGCAACAGTACTAAAGCTCAGGAGCCCCATAGTATCAAACCCAGGCTCCACAGTGGGAGCTTCAAGGAGTAGAGTCCTGGGTGGGGAAAGAAGGATGGAAATAAATCTTGTCCAATGCACATGTAGCTTTTCTAGTGCTCTTAACAAACTTCTACTTCCAAACACAATTGGAACAATTGCTCATCTCTTATATAAAGTGGAACCATTGGCCCAGTGCTAATGAGGATGTCTTTCACCCAAAGGCTCTCCCATGCCTGGTGGTGGGGGCCCTTTGAAGCTAGGGACCTGGCCTCGGGTCTCTTTCCTGTGACAGGTTGACCCACTGTTGGGCGCTGAAATTCTCAGAGTATCCAGGTTCAAAGTTTGAACTTTGTGGATGACTTGGCTCCTGCTGTGCGTTCTGACTCCTGGCCCAGGGCTCTGGTGCAGGGCTGCGGTAAGGTACCCTTGGTGTCTGAAGGACGCCTTGCCGGGGACAGGAGAAGGCTGTTGGTGAGGCCTGGGTAGCTGCTTGTTTAGCTGCTTGCTTCCCCTGAGCCATCTTCTGTGTTTGGGTTGGAGGGTGAGAGGAAGGAGCAGCCCAGGTGCTACCAGAGCTGTAAGGTGAGGGACAGGACATTGGGATCAAGCAGAGAACAGGCCCAGCCCCTCAAGCAGGGCCAAACTAACAGGTTTTGTTTGAGCAGCAACCTTGGCTGCTGGGTCTGGGGGAAAGTAGGAAACCAAATCCATGTGTTAAATCCGGTGACCCTTGAGAGACTTGAGAGACTGAGAGCCAGGGGAGCTGGTGGACACAGGCTGTGGAGGGGCGTGGATGAAACAGGAGCTGCATGAAGACTGTGGGGGAAGCACGTACATATTTAGTGGCTTGGGGACAAGGGTCGTGCAGGGGGACTTGCATGTGTAGTGTGGAGCAGGATGACAGGTGTTTGTATAATCTACTAATAGAAAAAGCTTTAGACTTTAGCAGAATCACCCAGCTGTAGCTTAAGCAATCTGGGTTGATCCTATCTGGTAACTATTATCTACCAAATCTCAGCCATGAGCTTAAGAAATCTCTTCCTGACTGCTCGCCTGTCCCCAAGGTGATGCTGGCTCCTGGTGTTTTGTTGACATTAATTACAGACAGCCACCAAATGCTGGGGGGGAGGGCTTGAGCAGCTTTTTCTTTTTTCTACTTCACCTGATGCCTTTGTTGTTGGCTGTGTTCTGTCCAGAGTCCTGAAGACCTTGGCATTTCCACCTCTCGCATGGCTTAGCCAGTTTTGTGTCTCTGTTTTAATCCTTTCTTTAATCTGGACACCGTCCTTGGGTACCCGCCACTCTTCTGTTCCCCGGTGGCTTTTCTGTTTTCCTCTCTGCCAGTTCTTCCGCATGCACGCCTTGATGAACGGGAACATTTTAGCATCGTGGATCTTACCTTAGATCAGGATTAAGAGATGTATGAAAAATGAGTCGTGAGCATTAAAAATGGATAAGGCAGACACCTGGGACTCCCCATTCATTTCCATAGTTGAGCGGGGAGGTGGGCCCAGAAGGTCAGGGGGGAGTGAGGAATGGGCACATTTCTCCATTTCCGGGAGGAGCATCTATGGCCCGGTGCTCCGGGAAGTAGAACATGGTGGGCTGGTCCCAAACCTGAGAAATCCGGAAGCTCTTTGACACAGAAATTTGTTTTCTAAGTCTGTGTTTTCAGGCAGTAACACCAGGTTTTCCCCAAAGATGTAGTTTCAAATGCTAATTTCAATTAGCACAGAAAGAGTTGGAGATGACTTAAATGTCCAGCCTTTAGTAACTGGGTGCAATTTACGGGGCACTATGTAGGGGACCTGACCACACATGGACTGTAGGGGACCCGGGATACATGCATGTGAGGCAACCACTGAAAAAGCACAGCAGAAGACAACTCAAAAAGACTTGCACTAAGCCGTGCAGAGCCTCCACAGCTTTATTAAAAAAAAAAAAAAATCTACGCCACACAAAGTAAAACAAAACAAACACGAGGAAGCATGTGTTACCTGTCATTATCTTGAGCAGAGCAAGAATGAGTCACTTCTGTCCTGTTCAGTTCATTTGTTAAAATGTATGCATGGGACATAGATTTCTCTGGCACATAAAAAATACTTTTAAAACAAATGCTCTCTACTCAGACCTCTAAAAATAATAACACGTGGGTTGAGAATTTAGGCTTGGGTAAAAGTGCTTTTAAAGTGAATGTGCAATTGCACTCACATGTGTAACAGCATACTGCAGGTCAAAAGGGAATGCAAGCAAGTCTGCTGTGTTTGTTAATTGAAATCAACAATCTGTGAGTCTTGTGGGAATGCGAGACTGCGCTGGAGGTGTGTCGTTTTCTTACCTTGCTTTTCGTGTATTTCTTTTGAATTTTTTTGGTACCAGGAATTGAACTCAGGATCTTATGTTTGCCAAGCAGCCACTTGTGCTGCTGAGCTGTATCTTCGACCCTTACCTTGCTTTTTTTTTTTTTTTTTTCCTTTTTCCTTTTTATCGGTACCAGGGATCGAACTCACGACTGCCTGCTTGCAAGGCAGGCACTTATGCCACTGAGCTAAATCTCCAGCCCCTTACCTTGCTTTTCTTAAACATTAACATGGAATAGCCCGGGGCTCAGTGGCTGTCGTAGGGTTTGCTTTCCCTAATCTGCAGCTCATCCTGAGGTTGCGCTGCACCCAAGGGAGTGGGTACTGGCGAACACAGGGCCAGTTTGGGCCCTGCAAGGAGGCTGGTTCGTTCTGGAGGGTGAGAGGGACTGTGATTCTGAAAGGGGCTCTGAGGTGGTTGGAGTGATGGGGGCTGGGAGGAGGCCCGGAGGGACAGCAGCTGCTTGGTGTGTTAACCCAGGTGCTTCTGCTGTTCCCCTCAAACGTTGCTTCTTTCTCCTCGTTGCAGCGGTAGAGCGGACTGTGTAGATCTCTGCAGTGAGCAGCTCAGGGAGAAGAAGCCACGGGTATCTTGGAGCCCAGCTGAAATGAACTGGCTCCCCTGAGCCTGTCCCAAGCCCAGCTGCCAGGTTTCATCCCAGCGCTGAGGTAAGACCCCTTGAATCCCAGCTAAGGGAAAGAGAAACAGAATGCCTCTTTGGTGGTGGGGTGGGTAGAAACTTCCTCTGGGGCTCTGCAAAGAAGAACCAGTTGTTTGTGACTTCGTCAGACCATCTGCTTCCCTTTCAGCCCTTGGGAGGCAAGGTCACTTGGTAGCCAAACAAGTTTGGGTTGAGGGCAGGTATTTTGAAATCTTGACAAAGGGTTGTATTTTCTCAACTGCTGATGAAATTTGAACTCCAAAGGCAATAAACTTATCCTCCAGCTAAGAAAGACAGCACAGATTCAGGTACGTGCTTAGGTGTACCTGCTCTGTCTTGCAAGACCAGTTGAGTTCCTACGGAAACATGCATACACACACGCAAATGTACACACCTACATGTACCCAAACACGCCAATTCAAGGGAGACAGAAACAACATTTTCAGGAAGCTTATTGCAAAACATTCCAGTGAGCCTACTAGAAATGATTTTAATTACCTAGATATGTTCTGATTATAAATAATGTGTTCTCTAGGACATTTGGAAAAATGCCCCTGTGGAAGAAAATAAACCATTCGGAAAGCCTCCCTCTGTTGGCAGTCCTGTTGGATGCTTTTCCTTATGGTTACTCCCAGCCAGCTACCGGATGTGATTGTTTCAGCAGGAAGGTGGAGTGATGCAGCAGAGAGACCCCCAAGGAGGGCCTGGGGGGAATCTCACCTCTAGTCTGCAGTCTCCAGAGTTGATTTTTAAATATCTAGGAATTTTGTTAAGAAACCATTGGCAACTTAAAATTGACCACGGTGGAAAAATTTATGTCATGGAAATGAACTGAAATCTCTACCTGGAGCTTTTTGTGTTTTGCACATTCAGATCACATCAGAACACCACTGGTTCTGAAGTGGGTTTGTAAACAATATAGGAATCCAAGCAGTCAAACTGATAAATTTGGAATTTTCTTAGCTGAGCTCAGTGACTACCCGTAGACCTCTGTTTCAGTCAAAACAAGTGGCCCTGAACTTGAAAGGTCACAGGGCATTTAAAGCAAAAAAACCACAAAGCAAGACATCCTGTTGGAAACAGTTTAGCTAGAATCTTACATTAATTTTGGTTGACACCTATATCCTGCTTCTTTGTTGAGCAGGTTAATTTTTCTCTTGTAGGTGTAGCTCATTCTGCTTTTCTCATGGGACTTGTAACCTGAGTAATTTTTCACTCTTCTGGGTCAAATACAGGGCACAAGATGGCTTTATGCCGAGCTACGAAACTTCCCGCACCTACACCATTACCATGTGGTAAGGCACTGGGCCATCACCTTCACCTGCACGCCCCCTGGCTTCCTCACCCATGCACCGTTTAGGTGGATATGAGTGAGGGTTCCTTGTTATCTCATAAGACAGCTGTGAGAGTCCCATTAGGTAAAGAGAATGCCTTACACTTGCAGGGGGTTTAGCTGATTGGGAGACCTTTAGTTGATCAACAGGGAGAAGGTGGCTGTATTTCCCCCTTTCTTGGCTCTTGCTCCGTGGGTGGCCTATGAATTATTAACATCCTTTCATAAAGGCAGATGAAAAGCCTCTGTTTACTGACCAACATCTGGGGCGCATTTCCTTCCTGGAAAAGTCAAGAAGTTAGTCAGGGAAGTGTGAAAACGAAGCCTCAGCAGTACTGGATGTGCGAGCCAGGATGCAATCAGAGCTTTTGACTCATAATCTCTACTCTCTCCTTGGGGTAAGGGGTGTGAGGGGGGACTTCCTGCCAAATGTGAAATTTCAACAAAAGCTTCTTTCTTCAAGGCTCTGCTGTTGAAGCAGATTAGAGCTAATTAAATAAGCATAATGGAGCTCCAGCCTCAGCCCTCCTCTTTGTACGTTCTGAATCTCTTGCTTTCTTCTGCCTGTTTCCCCCAAAGAGAGGGGATGGTGGGGGGAGAGGGTGGGCATCAATGAGGCACCAGTTTATCTCCATAGACTTGTAGGTTCAGGAAATTGTAAGAGTAGAAAGAGTTACGGAAGTCATCTGGTCCATCGCCCTCATTTTGAGGAGCCAAGTCCCAGAGCAGCTGGTGGCGGCCCAGGCCTGGGCTGGAAATGGGTTTTCCCCTGGGGGGGGGGGGAAGTGAGCATAGACCTGGGGCTTTTGCGTGCACTTGGCAAGGGGACATGCTGGTGACCTGGTGCTAGCCTTGCCTCTGCCCTCCCCAGGCCTTTTGCTATATCTGCTGCCATGGTCCCTCTGCTCTTGAGTGCCCTCTAGTTTTCTTGGAGTTAAGTCCCTTTCTTCATCAGGGTCTTGGTTTTCTCCCGCAGTGAAGGCATCCTAAGAAGACCTTATTCTGAAGAAATCAAGGGTGTTTATGAGGAAGGGAAGGGAAAGGCAGGAGATCGATAAAGCTCAAGATGGTTCCAGGCATGAGTTCTGTGCTCTGTCTGTGCTACTTGTTTTAATTCTGCAGTAATCTAAAAAGGGGATCTGTCCCCCTATCTTGGATGTGGCAATGGAGTCTTAGAGAGGTAGAGACTTAACCCCAGGTTTCAACACTCGTAAGTGGCAGAGTTGTCAGCTAGGCCTGTTTGTGACCACTTCCGCTTCTCAACGCTAAGTCAAGTGCTCTCCAGGGCACGGTCACCCTTGTAGGAGCTCTGAATCAGGTTCCAACAGACAGGGTTCCTCCCCTGAGGGAATATCTCTTCATCTCTGAAGCCATGTGAGCAGCTGTGGTCTAAAGTGATTGAAGCTTTGCAGAATGCTGCTCTGTTCTTTCAGATTCTGAGGGCTGTCTTCCCAGTTGTGTAAGACAGCATCAGAGCTGAAAGCACCCACAGAGCCTATAGCAGAGTCCTCTTGCCCAGCTGATGTCCCAGCAGCTGGGATGCAGTGTTTCTGGGCCCTGGCTTTCTCATCAGCTAGAAGCAGGTACCCTCTTCACCTTCAGGCTCTCAGAGCTCTCTGCAGGGGGACATACCTAGATAGTTATGTCTCCTTTTCTTCCATGGCTGAGCAAGAGATTATCCTTCTGGCAAGAAAACTTTAATTCAGTTCTGCAGATACTGAGTGCTTCCTGTGTGTCCAGCCAAATAGATCAGCTTGTTTGTGTGAGAAATTCTGGCTTAGCCCTGTGCATACAAATCTGACCAGGAACAAGGGGAGGAGCTTCCCCGCACCAAGACTGGACAGCCCATAGGTTCTCCTTCCCTTTCCTGTGTCTTCTCCCAATCTTCTGTAACCACAAGGACCTCCCATGTGTTCTGCAAGAACCTGCAAGAAAGAAATCCTACCTCAGGCTTCTCTGCTATCTTGAGTTGTGCTTGAGTTGGTTTCCCAGTTCCCTGAGCACAGTTTTAAATGTGGAGCCTGAAGACAGCAACCCAGGAGCAGGGGCTTTGGAGGAGGCTTTGCAGAAGGGCAAGACTGAGGGGGAGGAGGTTGGGTGGCTCAGGGAGCAGATTCCCACTAGGAAAGCGTTGCTCAGTGGGAATGGGGGCTCACTCTGCAGTGGGGCTGATAGCATTGCTGAGGGTGCTGTCCCAGGTAATCAGGAATCCTTCTCATGCTGATCAGCTTCACGAGGAGGACACGCTTAGTTCTGCAGAGCATGTGATGTGGGCTGAGAGTCCCTAGGAAGGGAAGGCTCACTGGGTGGCCTTCCCCCTTATGACAGAGGAGCCCAGCAAGGAGAAGGGCCTTGGGAAATGAGCCTGATTCCCCGACTGATCAGTGTCGGTCTACCAGTCCACTGCGGCTGAAGACTGAAGGTTGTCTGAGCCTCAGCACAACCACTTCTGTTTCAGCCTGTTTGATTGCTGGTAGAGGTACATGTGGTGGTGGGCACAAGTGTCATCTCAGGAATCCAGGGATCTTCTGTAGTCCTAGCCTTTTGTCCTCCTCCTGAGGGTCTTGCTTAGATGAGGAGCCATCACCTTTGGCTGGGAATTTGCCATTGTGGGCAGGTGTCACAGTTCAGGCAGAAGTGCCTGAGCTTGGGAGTTGCCTGACTTGACCATAGCTGCAGGACCACCTGGGCCAGTAATGGTGAGCTTTTCAGGGCTTTCAATGATCCAAACAGCCCGCTGCAGCACATGCGCCACAGGTTCGCTACCCCTGAGTCCTGGACTCTCAGACCCAGATTCCTCATCTGTAAAATGGGCTCAGTAACCCCTACCTGGAGTGAAGGTTAATAATAATAATATGTTTTTCCCTCTAAAGGAGCTGCCCATGAAATGGTATCCATTATTGTTTTTCCTGTACTGTTACAGCAAGTATAACTGACAGACAAAAACCTGCATATGTGTAAATTGTACAACGTGATGAGTTTTGATGGATGTACATACTCATGGATCTCTCTCACAATCACAGTGATGGATCTCTCTACTTTCTCCTATCTTAGCCCTCCTCCCTTTGTTTCCTTCCACCTCAGCAACTGCTAATCTGCTTCCTCTCAGTGTAGATTAGTGTGGAGTTTTCAGAACTTTGTGTCACTGTGATTATGTAGCATGCACTCCTCTGTTGCTGACTTAATTATTGTTCAGCCATGTTGCTTTGTGTGTCAGTAGTATGTTCCTCTGTTGTTAGATGGTGTCTCGTGCTATGATGTACCGCCATTTGTTTTTCCATCTGTTGATAAATATTCAAGTTGTTTTGGACCTCTCAGCTGGGCATGGTGGCCATGTCTGCAGGCTCGGCTTCTTCAAAGAGGCAGAAGGATCCAAAGTTCGAGTCCAGCCTGGAAAACTCTGTGAGACCCTGTCTCAAAAAGTAAAAAGGGCTGAGGATGTAGTTTGTGGTAGCCTGCTAGATTTAGTCCTCAGTACCAAGAAAAAAAAGCCAGCAAACATTTATGAAAAAATAATTTGTGGGGACACAAGCTTGCATTTCTCTTGGGTACATATGCCGAAACAGAGATGCCGGGTCTTAGAAAGCTAATATTCACCGGTGAGGTGAATATTAGCTTTCTAAGATGTCAGATTGTTTCCTAGAGTGATTTTGCCGATTTCCTTTGCCAACAGC